TGTGAAACTGAGTGGTTATGTTGACTCTAACTATGCTAATGATAAAGACAATAGGAAATCTACCACTTCCTATGTGTTCACTTTGTGTGGGTCGTGTATTAGTTGGAAATCTCAGTTACAACCAACTGTTGCCTTATCAACCACTGATGCTGAGTATGTTGCAGCTACAGAAGCTTTCAAGGAAGCCATCTGGTTAAGTCGTCTTGTTGCTGAAATAGGTTTTCTTAAACAGGATGTTACTGTGTTTTCTGATAGCCAGTTTGCTATCCAGCTTTGCAAAAACCTTGTTTTTCATGACAGGACCAAACACATTGATGTGAGGTTCCATTTTATTCATGATGTTTTAGATGCAGGTAAAGTGAAGCTGTGCAAGATACCCTCAGAGTTCAACCCTGCAGATATGGGGACGAAGTGTCTATCTGTTGAAAAACTTTTGTCTTGTAAATGAATTTTGAATTTGGACTGCGGTTAACTCTGTTTGCAGGTTTTGGGTATGTTGGAGGGTAGATTCTTGAAAGCGTAGTGCTTGAGAGAATCTACTCTCACGGTTAGGGAGAGTACTTTGGGTACTTCTCCAATTTCCTTTTGGGAGTATTTTGTGTATCTCCAATTTGTTTGCCAGTTATGTCTTTAGGATATCACTGGTGACCCAGCGATGATGAACCACGTGCTCATGTTACTTTGTGATACCATGCACCACCAATGATGGCCAATAAGGTGGAGAGTGTGGAGGTATTGGCCCCACGGGCCAAGGCAGCCTTCTCCTTTCTTTGTTGGGCATGTTTGCTTACCTCTGCCCTGGCCCATGTTGTTCTGCCGCTAGCCCTTCTTCTGGAACCCTCCTTTAGGGCTTCCCCTATTGCCCGGGTACTTAAGCTCCTCTACGCCTTTGGTTGACGTAGAGGTCTTCGGTTAGAGAGAGAGTGTGAGGTTAAGAGAGAGTGAGAGAGACTTCTGTCTCTTCTCCATTCCGGTCCCTCTGTGGTACTCTCTCTGTGCTTCCCCTTTTCTGACCTTTGGCGTGCGTTGAGATGGCTGGGCTGGTCTGAGTGTTCTTGTCCCTTCCGGTGGTGCTTTGGTGTGTGTGCTGTATGAGCGTGGTCTGAGCTGAAGAGGTGAAAACCTGACAATCTCCTTCCCAAAGTTTTCCACACTTTTTCTGAATTCTTCTTCATTCATATTAAAGAAATAATGTGTAAAAATATGTGTCATGGATATTAAAGTCAGTCCACACATGAAGAAGGATTCAAAAAAAGTGTGAAAAACTTTGGGAGGGAGATGCACTAAATGGTTATATAGACTTTGGGACAATTATAGAAATAATGGCATGTATAATACTTCTACACTTATTAAGGACAAAACTATGACTTGAATCCCGTTTGGACAAAAATGTTAGTGAAAATGTGTGGACAATCTTTAATACCCTGCAACCCTACTTCATTTCCGTCATTTTCTCTCATCATTTTTGCAACATCACACAATGCCACATCATCAATGCTTTTTCCATCTTGCATCCCATCAGCTTCTCCACGTCACCGCCATCTTCACGACGTCGTCTCCATGCTGTTCGGACATCGCAGGTATATATATCTCTATTTTTTATCTCTCTTCTTCTTCTTTGAGGAATCTCAAAACCTGCGATGGCAGCAACCTATCGATGATGGCGACCTGTCGATGGTGGAGATCTGACGATGGAATAGATATGACGACGGCGAGCGAGGATTACATCATCTATTACTAAGGAAAGTGACGAGGGCAAATACAAATGGGCTAGGGTTCAAATCAGGTAGTCGGACCGATTGGAGACCACGATTCTGGGCTCGTCGCTCTATTGTCGCAATTGTAGATTTGGCGTAAAGGTGTGTGAGGGCTACGATGGGGTGTGGGGTGGGTCCGCAGTGGTTCAGGGGGTTGATCTGCTCTGAATAGGTGGGAAGCTGGGGAGGAACGTGGTGAGGGGGTGCGGTAGTGCCTGTGTAAGGATGGGGATGGGAATTGGGAGAGAGGGTTGGGCATGGGAGGTGGAAGATGGCGGCAATGGTCGAGAGTAGATAGGGGCGAGCGATGGAAGTGAGGCTTGGCGTTAGGGTAGGTGGGAGGGGGGTTGGGGTCCATGTTGGAAAGGGGTTGGCAGTGGTGGATGATGATGGTTTCCAGTGGTGGTCACTATCTAACTGGGTAACTATGACATAAGTAACTTTGGTCTGCATCATTGTGGCCGGCAACAGTCACTGAACGGCGGTGGTGGAGGCGGTCACTAGGTGGTGGTGGCCAAGGGGCTAGGGTAGGTGCGAGAGGGGGTTGGGGTTCGTGTTGAAAAGGAGCTGGCGGTGGTGCGTAACGGTGTTGGACGGTGGTGGTTTCCAGTGGTAAAATTGGATAAATGTGACAGAAGTAACTATGACGGGAGTCACTATGAAAGTGTCACTGCGGGGATGTCACTGTGACCGGCCGGCGGTGGTGGCTGACAGTCAATGTGGCGGGTGTCGTTGTTGGGTGCATTTCGAAAAATTAAAGAAAATAATTAATAAAAATTAATTAATTAAATGACTAAAGAGAACAGAAAAAAGATGAAGCATAATTTAGCCAGAGCTCATGCTACGCATGATGTCCTTAAAATGCATTCGTCACCTCCCACGGTGCTATGAGCGTTGCAACGACCATTTCCCAGGATACGGTGGCTAACGAACTAACGTTTTAGCACACAAACGAAAGTTCCGGCGAACGAGAACATAGGCAGGACACTTTAGAATTTTCAGGAGAGCTGGAGGTGTTTTTAGAGGTAAAGAGTGTGTGAGTTCATTTGTGAACGTGTATTTGTTGCAAAGCACCTACCAGCTATATATAGGATGATTTGCGGTGTGTTAACCGAGCTTTAATGGACCTGAACGTTGCGCATAAATGTCCAGCACGTTGGTCATTAATATGTCAAAAAACTGTCCATTTAAAGAAACATTAAAAGACAAGAACGTTGAGCAATTATTAGCGTAATCGCTCAGTTGCGCAACCAGAAGAAGTCCATGATCTTCTGTCCGGAAGCTACCAGAGGAGCTATGTGGTCTTCTGCCCGGAAGCCACCAGAAGACCTCATGGTCTTCTATGCCGAAGCCAATAGAAAACCCTCCACGATTTTCTGGTTCTGAGCAGTTCTGCCAGGCTGGAAAAAAATAAGGAACATTACGAGAAGAAACAAAAAACGGTTTTCTGGTTCTGAGAAGTTCTGTCAGTCTGGAAAAAAATAAGGAACGTTACGGGAAGAAACAAAATTAAATCATATCTTTGAATGATAGATTTTCGGACGACATTCGTGTCCGCAAGTCGCCCGCGCACAAGAGTCGCAATTTTTCTTCTCCATTTTCGGGATTTGATCGGCACCCCCTCTTGCGTGCGAAGAGAGCCTTTCCACCTAAGAATCTTAACTCCTTCAAATTGGGTTTCCTTTATAAGGGGGTGAAAATCCCTTGGGTTTTCCGGTGTGGGGTAAAACACACTAGAAACCCATCATTTTCCTAATTTTATCCATTTCAACGAGTGAACTTCGAGAATCAATTTCTCATTCACCCGTTATCCGTTTTGAGTGTACCATATATCGAATTGTAGCCCTTAGTAAGGACAACCCGAAACCACTTTGACTCGACCCAAATCGGAAGTGGATCCCACTCAAAAAATTGCCCCAAATCGACCATTTAATGCATTTTTTAACAGATTTTTCCAACAGTCGTTGCAGTGTGTGTCACTGTAACGGGTGTCACTATGGTCGATTTTGCAACTATAAAATAAAGGCACCGCAAATTAAAGGTAATTTAGTAAGTTTAAACCTTAGTAGTTACATTTTTAGAAATTAAACAAAAATGTCACTTTTTTATCATTTATTTACTTTTTAGTAATATTGAGTTCAAAACCCCACAATTATATAGTTTCTCTGTGCCTTATAACTTTGTCATTTTTTTTATTGGGTTTCCTAAAAACTTTGTCAGTTTCCTTTTTAATCAATGAATTTGTGGTTCATGTTACTTGTCTCTCCTCTGCACATATCTAAATCATACAGTTTTGACTTTATTATTTCTCGTGCCGCTCAATCATGACAAAGTATTGAGAGACGGAGATACTACAAAGTACTATCTTTTCCCATGCACATAAGATTGACCTCAACAAATTCACCCTCTAGCTAGAGATGTTCATCGAGTGTAGCTAACAGTTGATAGGATGTGCTACTGAAAGATAGATTCAGTTCAATTTCTGGCAACTACGCTAATTGAGAACCTTTCTCAACAAAAAGATGAAGTCCATTTTAGGGGTTTTTCAAACACCTATCGAACAGTTATTGAACTTTAATACTGCATCTGTCCATTTTTATTTTAACAACTTTCCTTTTTTGGTTGTTCCAAAAAATTTTGTCACTTTCCTATTAAAGCAACTAATTTGTGATTCTGTATATTTCTCTCTCCTCTACACAAATCTCAACCACACAATTTTTAGTATTCTTATTTCTCACCTACTTAGCACTTGGTAAAGTCCACCGGGAGGGAGGTAGTATATTGAGTGAAGCTCTAACTCACAAGTTTTCGGATCAATTAATTATTCTAGACATATTGTAATGAGCTTCGGTGCTTCTCATAGAGCATTTAAAATACTGCATAAATTTACTCACTATAATAAAGGAGATGACCATTATTAATTATAAACTCATACGTGTAACTTTAACAAATGGAGTAAATATTCTTACGTGCATTCTAGACCCACTTGGCTAATGGCTAAGGATGTTTTTACTTGGACTGTAATTTAATGGTCTGGTCTGGTGTGATCTGATCTGATCTGGTCTGGTTTGAACTGGTCTGTTCTGGTTTCTTTGTATTTTTATAACTATCCAAGTCTGGTCTGGTCTGGTCTAGTCTGGTCTGATCTGGGACGAATTATAGTCAAGTAAAAACATCCTAATCGTCCACTTCGAGGCTCTAATTGGCTTGAGATTTTGCAATGAGTGTTAATTAAATGTAACAATAATTACAATCTGACTATATATTTAAAAATTATAACAATCTGATATGGATTTGTTGGAGTTTGTCTCCAAACTTAGTAATCAGGAATTAAATGTTTTGATGTCAATTAGCCAATTTCATTCTTTTGGCTACTCCCAATTCATCCTCAATCTATTATACTACGTAATATTCTGCACAAAATCAGATTATCAGAATTCAGAGGTCTATACCCTTCTTTAATTTATTGCTCCAACATTTATTTATTTCTTCAAAGTACCCGTTGCAATCGCCAACCTGGTTCCTGTTATTTCTCTGTACTTGTTTCTTACTTCTCCTTCCCTGTCACAGAAAAGAAAAACACTTTGATTTTTATGTTTCTTGATCATGATTCATACCTGGACTCCATTCAAAGTGAATGAAGTACTAAAAAGGGCCTAAAACAACATGGGCATCTTCAAGAAACAGAATTTCAGACACCCTTGTTTACATCTTCTGCTTCTGTATTTTCTGATCCATTCCGTTCCAGCGGTTCTTGATTTTCCGGCGGGAAGAGCAGAGCTGTCGGCGCGTTCCCTCGACGCGCTTCTTCAGGAACGTGCATTCCGGGCGCTCCTTCAGCCGAAGACCGGCGTTCCTTACGACGGGAATGTGCCTCCCGGGATGGCTGGGATCGGAGTATCGGCGTTGAGATTGAGGAGTGGTGCCATGAAGAGGAAAGGGTTCAGAAATTTCCATGAATTTACTATCCCGACCGGAATGGTGGCGCAGCCGTACGCGGAGAGGATAGTTCTTGTATATCACAATTTAGGCAACTGGTCCGGCATTTATTACCCCCTGCCGGAGGGTTACATTCATCTGACTCCCGTTTTGGGGCTGATGGCTTACGACGCTTCCAATTTGTCGGCTTCAGAGCTGCCGGAGCTCGAATTACGGGCATCGGAGACGCCGATCTTGATTAAGTTTTCAAGATTGAAGCCGGCGCCGGCAGCGCCGGCTTCCACCAAGTGTGTGTTCTTTGATATGCGCGGTTCGCTGGAATTTGACATTGTTGTCGACGGGAACATATGCAGGGGTACAAAGCAAGGGCATTTCTCGATGGTCGTCGAAGTCGGAGCTCCGGGACAAGTGCCGGCGACCACCATTGGAGACCGCAAGAACAGTGGGGATAAGAAAGGATTTAACAAATTACTATTGTGGGTAATTTTGGGGACAACGATTGGAGGGGTTGTGATGCTGTGTTTGTTGATCCTTGTATTAGTTTGTGCGAAGAAAGGAGGTGGGGGTAAGAAGGAGGAGAAGAAACGGAAAATGGAGGAGGCTGTGGAACGCGACGCACCATTGCCGACGGCAGCCGTAAGACTCGCGACGGCGACGGCGGCTTCAAAGGCTCGGACCAGGCCGGTGTTAGATGATGAATATACTGCATAGCTCTTAAGTTTCTAGAACAGAAAGTAAGACTGTACTTACCAAAAACATGACAATTCAACAGCCGAGCTTTCTTACAAATTGGTCAATGGTGTAATCATACAATGGAGTAGTATCGAGCAGATAATCTCTCTATTTTGTCGGTCCATAATTAAATGATTAGTTTTTCGAAAAAATAAAAACTTAATGGTTACTCGTATAAGTTAATCCCTCCCTTCCGGACATTTGTTCCAAGTTTGACTTGACTCGCAAATTTACGAAGTGGGAATAAAGTGGAAATATATGGTTGTAGTTGGGTAAAAAAAGGTGAATGATTGTGAACCATATATTTTTTCCAAAAGTGGAAGTTGGAAGAATTAATTGGGACGACCCAAAAAGGAAAGTTGGAAGAAATAACCGGGACGGAGGGAGTATAACATATGGGATTTTGGGAGAATTTCATTATTTCTAATCAGTGTTCAAAAATGCGTAGCTCAACTCGTAGCAAGAGAGTGACACAAGGGTTAGGTCCCAGGTTCGAATCCCGTCAACTGCGTTGAGGGGTTACTATGCTAAAAATGCATAGGGCCTCTGCAAGTATCGGGAACAAAGCCCCACTCTCTATCTGTTAGATTGGGATTATAGTCCAATTTACATTCTTCCAACGTACCATCCGGTCGGGTTTGGGGGCCCTCAGGGATGGGGTGTCATTCTTTTTTTTTTCTAAAATGCGACAAAAAGCGTGGCTTAGGCATGTTTAGGCATGAGGGGGTGGAGGTACCAAGTTTGAATCCTCTTGGGGTTCCATTTTTGTTTTCAAAACTATTTTAATTAAATAGACCAAAACTACGTTGTTTTGGCCTATTTTTTGGGGGTTGCTTCACGCTCCACGCTCAGCTCCATCTTGCCCATATCAATTTTACATTAAATATACATCCAATAAAATGTTGTCATGTGGCAAGTAATTCCTTTTTTTAAAATGTCATAACTTTTTCATTTTTGCTCCAATTTTTATAAAAATTAGGGAGAACTATCAAATAAGTCCTCGAACTTTCATAAAAAGTGCAAATAAGCCCTTTTACAGGAGGCTTTATCCGGCTGTCGCCATTTGGGGCAGTTTCCGGTGGAATTTTTTGGTGAAATTTTTTGAGCATCTTTTACATTAAGTCTAGTTTACCCATACCAAATGTAAGCTAAAAATTCAATCCAGAAGGCAGTCAAACGATTTTCTGAAATATATTGCGCTGTCTAACTGCGCAGTTATCTTCAAAAATTCATTTGACTGCCTTTCCGATTGAAATTTTAGTTGAAAATTGGTATGAATAAACTAGACTTATTGAAGAAGATACTCAAAAAAAATCATCAAAAAATTCCACCGGAAACCTCCCCAAATGGCGACAGCTGGACAGAGCCTTCTATAAAGGGGCTTATTTGCACTTTTTATGAAAGTTCGAGGGCTTGTTTGATAGTTCTCCCTAAAATTATACCAAATCAAATATCTTTTTATGATCTTTCATATGACACCAATATTTTATATGTAATTTTAAAATAAAATCTGGTCAAGTCTCATGAACGTATTAGAAAACATACGTATTTTTTCATATATGACTCTTGACTACTATTAGAAAACATAGTAATTTTTTCATATATGACTCTTGACTGCTATTAGAAAACACTAGACGAAGTACCCGTGCGATGCACGGGGTATATCTAAAATTGAATAATACGCAATTTAATAAATTAATGTTTTAAGATGGTATATAATGTATAATTTTCTAAATAAGAATATAGTTTAACATTTATATAATGTGAGTTTGATTATATACGTCGTAATAGTTGCGGGAAAATCTGAATCATTTGAAAATTGCAATAATAAAATAAAATAAACAATAATGTGTAACCAAGCTCTATGTGAAAAAATAATTAGCTATGTGTGACGAAGAATAAGTTGATACTACCATTTTTTGTTTGAATCGTGATATTATATAAAATAAAACAATCATATATGTTGACAATGTAAAAAAGGTTTCACAAATTTCGGAAAACTTCTTTATAGACTACATTTTTGGTGGTGTGGATAGCACGGCCTTCGTCATCTAATATGAGAATCTTCAACCCATTCTTTGAGGTAACCCTTGATATGGCAACATACAATTGACCATGCGTAAACACAAGTCTTGAGAGATATATGCCCACTTGATGCAGAGATTGTCCTTGACTTTTGTTTATCGTCATGGCAAATGAAACGACAATTGGGAATTGCCTGCGTTGAAATTTGAAAGGAATTCTGCTATCCGACGGGACCAGTGATAGTCGCGGAATCAAAACCTTTTGGCCAATACTTTTGCCAAATATAACCTTCGCCTCTAAAACAAATTTACCCAGTCGAGTAATGATCAGGCGTGTTACATTACATAAGCCAGAGGAATGATCAATGTTTCTCAATAACATAATAGGCACACCAACCTTTAGTCCCAATTTATGGTTCGGGATCCTTGATCCATTGACGGTGTTCAAAAACTCTTGAGTATGCACTTCATCGAATTCGACGCCATTGGTTGAGCCTTCAGGTGAACATGGGCTGTCAAAACTCAAATATGTCCTCGTTTCTCCAGGCATCAATGAAATCATATAATTATTGATAAGCTCTACAACATCATTTGTTGGTGTCAAAATAGCTCTGTGCTGAAAATATGTTGGATCGGCCATATTCTCCAGAAATGAAGGATAAATGCTAGCAACAATTGAAGCAATAGGATCACCTGAAGTGGTAATAAGCATATCATTAGGTATATCAATGAACATCTCTCCATCTCTGACGTCCCCGACGTTTCCATCTCCTACTTTGAGCATCAAATCTGAGAAACTTTTCAATTCATCAACGTTACAATGCGAAGAACCACATTGCAGACTCATGTTTTTTGTCAAAGTGAAAACGCGACAATGTCTCCAAATATATGAGGCATTAATAGTAGCACGAACAACCTCTTGTCTTGATGCATTTGGTATGGTGGGAAGTGTTTGTCAGAAATCATCACCAAAAACGACAACTTTCCCTCCAAATGGAAGCTTCAAACTATCACGATTGTGAAATCTGAGCAAATCCTTTAATGTCCTGTGAACAGCTTCAAAGCAATGTCTATGTGTCATCAGAGCTTCATCCCATATGATAAGCTTTGCTTTGATGATTAGCTCAGCCAGATCGCTTCCTTGTTTTATATTGCAAGTGGAGTCTTCATTGACATTAATAGGGATGGCAAACCAGGAATGAGCTGTTCGTCCACCAAGAATTAACAATGATGCTATTGCACTGGATGCTAATGTCAATACAATTTCGCCTTTGGATCTTATGCATGCAGATATCGCCCTCCATATGTAAGTTTTACCTGTTCCGCCATATCCATATAGGAAAAACACACCGCCATGATCTTCAATGACACATTGCATGATGGTCTCATATATATTCTTCTGTTCAGAAGTCATGGTTGACAGAAGATGCAAGTGTTCAGCGGCCAGAGATGCTCTATCATAGTTCAACTCATCGTGGAGAAGCCTATTTTGTGATTCAGAAATCAGTGTCCTCTCAGGACGTTGCATGGATGGGAACTCCATCAAACTTTTTCCACTCTTGCGCAACAACTTCTCTATCTCGACCAAAGTAAAACTCTTTTATTCTTCATCTGATAGAATCAGATCTGTCAAAAAAGACATAAATAGTTATATCACATTTCCATAAAGGTTTTTACCATTAGCAAGTGCAACTAATAATAATAATACATAATAATAATAAAATAAATAGTATACTTTTAACATTAATCATTCCAACTATATACATTAATAATAAATAACTATAACATTAATAAAAAAAATAGTAATATACTTACCATGAAACTGTAAAAGTAATCTCTGCCTGTGCTGAATATCATCGCTTAGATATTTCCATGTATTTCCCAAACCACGTGTGGCGTACACATCTGGTTAGACAACATTAATACAACAAAAAAGAACCTCAAATACTCCCCAGTTCCCCCAAAACTCGATTCTGTGATAGCATCGATGTATTCTTTATCATCACCTAGCAATCCGAACGCATTGCACGCGTCTTTGAATGTGGGATACACAATGTTGTCAATGGTTTGTATTTCAACAAATGATCTTGGTCCCATGACATGGTTCAACAATGTACGCAAATAGTACAATTCACTTGTTGCTGGAGGCACAAAATGCAATCTCCCAACTGTCACTACTAGAATTTTCCTTATTTGCAGCTACCCAATTGTTGTGGTTCTTATCTAAACCGCAGCAAATAAGCAAAATTTATAAGTATTTGCTGCGGTTTTCATACTTTTTGCTGCGGTCATAGAGGAACCGCAGCAAATACTTATTATATTTTGAATTTCAATTTTTTTTCGGTGTAGGGGAACCTTTTTGCTGCGGGTATGGGTGAACCGCAGCAAATACTCTAAATTTGCCATGTATTTGCTGCGGTCATATGGAAAACCGCAGCAAAAGCTAATTTCCTATAAGGTCTAGAGTATACATTGATGCCTAACTTGATATCCTAAAAAACCCAACTGCAAACCCTGATCCGTCAGCCAATCTGCCCTAATATGAGAACTCCGCTGCTCCCCTGCCATAGAAAGAATCTGCTATCGCCGTCTCTCCCTGCCTAGAAAACAAGCCGCCACTACACCTTCAGTTGCTTCAGAAAGAATTTGTTGCCGCCATCTCTCCCAGTCTAGAAAGAAACCACCACCGCCCTCCCTGAAACAAGTTGCCGATGTCACCTCCAATCCCAGCCTGGTGATCAAGCCGCCGCTGCACCTTGAGTCGCTTCTTCCGTCTCATGCCCTCTGGTCGCCGCCTGTTCTTTAATTAGAGGTCTATTTGTATATTCTATCATCTCAATTTCTTTGTTTTTTATTATTTTATGAAAGTTTAATATCTTATTGATGGAGTATATGGGTCTGAGCCCCCGGACCCACATACTCAGAAGAACAGAAAGCACAGACACTGAGTGGTGCCCTCGTCGGCCAAGGGACCCCCGTCGGCCGGAAAGGTACAAACTCAGAATATGGTCCTGAAGCCAAGGAACCCGGGTGCCCTCGTCGGCCGCGCCCTCGTCGGCTGTGCCCTCGTCGGCCACGCCCTCGTCGGCCACGAAGACCTCACAGAACCGGATTTTACACTTACTCATTTGTACAGCCCATTAGTGGCTTTGTATTCAGCCCAGTAGCGGTCCAGTTGTAAATGGGCCTCCCAAGCCCAAGGCTTGGGAGCCCAGCCC